GGTTGCAACGTCCGCAAACCTCTCGTGTGCACGAAAGGTGACTGTGACAATACGGGCATGTAGGTGTCCAACACCCATCAAGAGTCCAGCGTGAAGGACAGTAACACGTCAGCCGTGGGTACACATAGGCTAGTAACTACATTAGCACCTACACTAGAAATCCAAGCACATAAATTAGTAACAGGCAACGATCCTAGTCTAGAAACGCACAAGCAAATTGATCCATCAGCACAACAATCAACATCAGCATACAACACTGGAGCAGATTGCAAGTCATCAAGTAACAATATTGAATAAATCTATCGCTGACATGTCAAACAGTGTCGGACCAATGGACCCAACTGGCTGGGCGCCGTTCGGGGCAAGGCCACCCAGCCTATACTGCGTGTGGTGGCGGTCCATGAGCTGAGCAAAGCACTGACCCAAAGGGTGGAGGCGGCCCAAAGGCCTCCCCAAAAGGATCCAGAACCATGCGACGACTAGCTGGGCGGTGCTGTCTGGTCTGACCGGGTCCCACTACGGCTGCGCTCTCCATTGCTGAAACTGCAAACTAAATCTACTGCTGTGGCTACTTCTGTAGAAGCGCCGCACCTATTAACTCTGCACCTCCTCCTCCACTACCACCACCGCTGCCACCGCCTCCTCCTGTCAACGGGAAAGGAGTGTTGGCCCCGCCCTCTCTTGGGCGACGCCAACGTCCTGGTTGGATGTACGGAAGAAGCAACCGACCGTACGCAGTCATGAGCTGCGCGGGCTTTGTCGAGCTGCAGGGGATCGCTGTGGTGTTGCTGTCGACTAGGGGAGCTTGACGGCCTTTGTCTGAGAGGCAGGTCAACGAGGTGGTCGTCAACCTGCACAGGACTGTTGCGGGGCTGGATCTGTTGACCTGGGGAGCTCGACGGCTGCAGCTGATTGGGCTGGGTGACGGACGGGCCATCGACCAGGAGGGCAGTTCGACCGGTGCGGTGGTCAACGAAGGGCTCGTCGACCAGGGCGCACACTGGGTGGTCAACCAGGTTACCTACTCAACGAGTTCCGCGGAGGCACGCAAACATCGTCAAGGTCGCGATGGCGAATGTGACCTTGGGCTGGTATCTCGAAGTCGGTGTGGCTCGTCATATGCAGATAACAGCCGACGGATGCACAACGTTGCATGTCGAGCCAAAGGTCTGCGCGCACCTGCATACGTGCGCACAATAGTCTTCTACGGGTGCAACGCTGGACAGCCGCTCTGCTGCATTGTTGGCACGCCGTCGAGCTGCTATGTTGGTAGGCCGCGTTTCTGCAGTGCTGGCGCGACTCATCTACGCAACGCTGGCAGGCATCGACCATGCTGTGCTTGAGGTCGACAAGGCTAGCTGCAGAGTTGCTAGGTGCCTGATGTAGTCATTCCTGTAATTGTCATTGCTATCATTCTAGAATGCAAACTTTGCAAATGAAAACTCTTGCCATTTTCTCCCGTGATTGTGCAATTGCTAACGAACCCGGCAAAGCTACAATCACAACTAAATTTTGTGCCAACACCCCGTATTCTAGCTCACGATTATTGTACAGTGACTCTCCGCATGGTGCGGTGAGCATAGATCGAACAAGCGACCTTCAGATAGGAGCCGACTTTTGCACTTAGTAAGTCGTTCGTGGGCCGGCAGCCGCAATAGTCACCATGGTCGACCACGTAGTAGATGTGAGAGTTGAAGAACAGAAATGAAAAATGACTAAGGAAAGATGGGGTACAAATACAACCTTAGAAACCTGTACCCCATATGTGCTACCCCACTATAGCCTACAGCAACTATGTCATATAAATCTGGCACACCCCCATAGGCAAAGTGGGGGAGAACAAGGGGTCACAAGACCAGTCTAGCAAAGCAAAGCAAAGCTCAGGGTGGATCACAAAGTCACCACACAGTCCGAGCACAAGGTCAAGGCCAAAAAGGCCAGTTCACATGCAGGAGAAGGCATATATATATAAGGCTAAACAAGCAAGAGCAGGTATATATATATGCAAGAGTACAGGCAAGGTCAAGAGGTAAGCAAGTGAGGTAAGACAGGTACAAGTCCCAGCTGAGTGCAGAAGCGCTGATGATCACAAGGCGGAAGTGCCTTGGTGAAAACATCGGCAGTGTTGGCCTCAGAGGCCACGTACGCAAGTCGCAACTGACCACGTTGCTGCAGCTCACGAGCAAGGAAGTAGCGGAGAGCAATGTGCTTTGTTCTGTGCTCCAAGCGCTGCTCTCGACACAAGGCCAGCATGGCCTTGTTGTCTACGTACAGCACTGGAGGAGAACGAGGCGGCTCTCCAAGGTCAGTCAGCAGGTAGGTGAGCCAGCGAAGCTCCTGTGCAGCCATGGCCCCGGCGTAGATCTCAGCCTGACAACTGGAGCCGAGAACAGAAGACGAGCGAGTAGCCGTCCAAGAGACAGAGCCAGAACCAAGACTGAAGGTGTACCCCTGCGACGACCGCTGCGTAGCCTGGTCGTCAGCCCAAGAAGCGTCCGCGTGACCACTGAGGAATACTGGACTCCGCCCTCCAAGCACTAGCCCCATACCCGACGTACTGCACAAGTAGCGCAACACCCTCTTCGCTGCAGCCATGTGCTCTGGTCGGTGTCTCCCAGGAGCAACATAGCGTGCAAGAATGCTAAGAGGATCTGCAAGGTCAGGTCGTGTGCATGTCATCAGGTACATGAGGCAGCCAACAAGCTCTGGGTACGGGCCACTCGACTCTACGGACTCATCCGAAGGCAGAGCTGAGAGCGAGTGGCGAGTAGACAGAGGAGTGGCCAGAGGCGAGGAGTACGTGAAGCCGAAGGGCTGAAGGACCTGCTGCACCATGTGTGACTGAGTCAAGGTAATGGTGCGGCGTGCTCTGTCCCGAGTGATCTGCAAGCCAAGGTAGCTGCGCAGTTCACCCAGGTCTGTGCACGTGTGTCTCTTCAGCAGCTCGGACTTCACGTAGGCGAGTCCAGCAGTGTCAGCTGTGGCAAAGACCAAGTCGTCGACGTACACGAGGATGTAGAACGGCGGCTGAGAAGTGTCGGTGCGCAGAAACAACGACGAGTCAGCAGTAGAGGGAGCAAACCCAAGAGCCGCAAGCGTAGTCCTCAGTGTGTCGTGCCACTCACGCGGTGCCTGGCAGAGACCGTAGACTGGCCGTCGGAGGCTCCACTGGGTGCCAGGAGGGAAAGTCCAAGTGAAGCCAGGTGGACGGCGCAGCCAGATCTCCTCGTGCAGGCTGCCCTGCAAGAAAGCAGTGCTGAAGTCAAGAGACTAAAGCTCGTAGTCGCGCTGAGCGGCTATGTGCAGCAGCACCCGAAGAGTAGTCATCTTCGGGGTGGGAGAGAGGGTCTAAAAGTAGTCAACTCCCTGCCGCTGACTGAAGCCACGATCAACGTACCGCGCCTTGAAGACAGGTGGAGAGCCAGGCGGCCGCTTCACCCTGAAGATCCACATGCCACTGACGATGTTCGCCCCAGGAGGGGGAACCTCGTCAACGTAGGTGCCTGTGGACTTCCAGGAGGCCATCTCTGCATCCATAGCTGCCTGCCATTGAGAGGAGTAGGGACCCTCAACGGCCTCCGCGTAAGAACGCGGAGTCGGGATGTCTAGTGCATCCGGGTCTCCCTCAGGGGCAAGCAGAACAGACGCAAGATGAGGTGAAGCAGCAGCCAGACACTGGAACTCCTCCTGCCTGTTCTCAAGGACGTCCGTGCCAAGAGCACACTCACCCCCGACGGACGGAGGACAGACAGACGCAGACTCAGCAACAAGACTAGCAGCGTAGTCTAGACGACAGCGAGCAGCAAAGTCGACGAGCTCAGCGACAAGAGCAGACGCAGCAGTGGACTCAAAAGAGGGGTCAGTGACAACAGTAGCAAGAAGACGCGTGACAGTAGGACTGGCAGCATGAAGAGAGTCCAACTCCGGGTCGGAAAGCGCAGGAAGAGAGGACTCAGGAGGAGAAGGCAAAGGGGCACGCAGAGGAGCAGTGGACAGACGCAGAGACATCCGGTGCGTGCCAGGGACAGGAGGAGGACGCTGACGCGAACTGCGACCACTAGCGCGAGCAGCACGAACAGGTGACGCGGGACGAGACGCAGGCTCACGACGCTCAGCAAGACCCCCAGTAGGACCAGTGTAAGGAGAGGGAGCAGGCAGTGGGGAGGTAGGCTCCAACAGTGACCGCGGCTGGACAGGCTGTGGACACTCTACTGCTGTAGGAGCGGAACGAAGTACGGCCGAGGCCGCGCGGCAGCTCCAGACCCAGCAGGGACAGCATTAGCACCCTCAGCGGCTGCACCAGCGCCACCAACACCTCCAGCAGCTGAACCAGCGCCACCTCAACCTCTAGCGGCTCCACCAGCGCCACCAACACGTCCAGGTGCTGCACCAGCGCCACCAACACGTCCAGGTGCTGCACCAGCGCCACCAACACCTCCAGCGGCAGGACCTCCAGCAGCACCAGCAGCAGGACCACCGACAGGACAGACAGCAGTAGTCTCAGCACCAACACCCTCAGCAGCTCCAGCTCTAGTAGGACCCACAGGCCCAGCAGCTCCGGGATCGGCGGCACCAGTACCCTCAGCGGTCGAAGAAGCTCCAGCTCCAGCAGTACGCCTCCAGCGGCGAGCAAACCACTCGCGCAGCTCCTGTGGAGAGAGGGGCTCCCGCCAAGACAGAGCACCACGAGAAACCCCAGGCTCAGCAGCTCAAGGCGCAACACCCCCAGACTCAGCACCTCCAGGCTCAGCAGCTCCAGACGCAGCACCCCCAGGCTCAGCAGCTCCAAACTCAGCACCCCTAGACTCAGCACCCCCTAGCTCAGCAGGTCCAGGCACAGCACCCCCCGGCTCAGCACCCCCAGGCTCAGCACCCTCAGTAGTAGCACCCCCAGGCTCAGCACCCACGCGCACAACACCCCCAGAGTCAGCACCCCCAGGCTCAACACCCGCAGCAGCACTAGAGGCACCAGTAACCTCGACCGGGTCAACGGCGTCTACCTAGGACACACCTGAGGGGGCAGGAACCTGAGGGGGGAGGGGGTCTAACGGGGGGGGAACCGGCACAAGGAAGTCCGGTGGCGGGGGGAGGGAAAGACTGCGGTAGGGGAAGAGGCGGTATAAGGGGACTGACTCGTCGAACGTGACGTCCTGGGAGGACAGAACACGACAAGAGGAGGGGTGGTAGAACTGCCACCCTGGAGCGTCAGGGGGGAAGCCAAGGAAGACACAGGGAGCAGCACGAGGGGACAGCTTGTCCGCAGACAAGTCGCGGACAAACGCTCGAGATCCCCAGACACGGAACGCACACGCATCGCCGACCTTCCCCGTCCACAGTAAGAGTGGGGACATCGCGGGCCGAGAGACCCTAGGGTGAAGGTTGAGCTGATGCGCCGCGTACCGAACCGCAAACGGCCACAGAAAATGGGGGGCAGCCGCATGCATCATGGACGTACGAGCGACATCCATGACCATGCCAATGCGGCGCTCAGCAATCCCATTTTGCTGTGGAGAGTCCGGAAGCGTAAAGGTCTGGCGGATCCCCCGTGCACGACAGTAGTCTCGCAGAAGGCGAGAGGAGAACTCCCCACCTCAGTCAGAGTGCAGACGTAGAAAAGAAAAGTCCGAGCCGAAGCTCCTCCTGAGCTGGAGACGAGCCTCGCGGATCCAGTCGATCAGCACCTCAGTGACATCACCCTTGCTGCGCAAGGGGAAGACTGTGGTGTAACGCGAGTAGTCGTCAACCACCAACAGGAAGTAGCGCTCGTGACCCTGCCCACGGACGTTGGCCGGGCCCCACACGTCCATGTGAAGTGTCTGCAGAGGAGCCTCTATTGGGGGAAACTGGGAGGAGTGAGGAGCAGCCCTGAGGCGCCCCTCGACACAGGGGACACAGGAAGGACCTGGTCCCGAAGGAAGGGGAGGGAGAGACTGGGGAAGACCAGAGACAAGGACACGGGAAGCCATGCCCCGAAGATGGGGCAAGGAGGGGTGGCCAAGCCGGTGGTGCCACAGGAGAGTCTCGTGAGACAGAAGACGACACGAACAGGGGGCAGACTCAGGGCCAGACCGGGACGCAGCAGCAAACACCTGACCTGACGCAGCTACCTGACCAGACGCAGGGACAGGAGGAGACACAGTGGTCAGGGTGTAGAGGCTCGACCCCGGCCGACGAGAGAACGTGGCCAGGTGCCGGCCTGTGCGTGCGTCCGTGCAGTGGGTCACCCGCTGACTCGCAGGAGTGAACTGGTGAACCCCCGCATCCTGCAAGTCCGCACCACTCACCAAGTTCGTCGAGAACGAGTGGAGGTACAGGCCAGACAGGGTGCCCGAGGGGGCAGCCGGACACGGGAGGACAGTGGAAAAGTGAGAGAGGACAGGACCCCCAGAGGGGTCAGCCAGGGAGTCCGCAACCGGCCGACCAAGCGGCGTGAGTGTGGTGCGGTCTCGAAAGAAGGAGCGAGAAGCTCCTGAGTCAAGAGTGAAAGTGAGGGAGGCCGAAGCCGACGTAGTACCTGAGAGCGCAGCCTCACTAGTACCTCAGAGCGCAGCCGCACTGGCACCTAGAGCAGACGCCTCACAAGTACCTAGCGCAGCAGTACCAATGTCCGTGTCGGGCGGGAAACACCGGTAACAGTCACCCTCATCACTAATAGACACAGCATACATGGCAGCAAGGATAGCATCAAAGTCTAGCTCAAAGATCGCTACACCAGCCCTAGAAAGGTCCCCCCAGCGAGGGATCTCAGAAGCGTCAGGGAACTGCTGACGCCAGGCGTCTGTCAGGCGGCCAAAGCAGCGCCTGGTGGCGTGGGCACCCCCACACTGCTCACCCGCGCGGTCGCCGCTGCGAAGAACGTAGGTGCACGGGCCAAAGCCTCCACCACGCTGACCCTGTGTGTACCACTCACGGAGCTGCTGAGGCGTGAGGACGTCCCGAGCACGCTGTTGCTGCTGCTGCTGCTGCTGCCGCGGACCACCACTAGAGACGCTCCTCTGCGGAGCACTCCCCCGACCAGCTCCACCTCCTCCGCCACCACCGCCTCCACCGCCACCACCTCCACCGCCTCCGCTCCCACCGCCTCCGCCGCCACCACCTCCGCCGCCACTGGCGCCGCTACCACCACCACTCCCGTCACCACTCCCACCGCCACCCCCACTCCCTCCGCCGCCTCCACTGCCACCTCCACCGCCCCCGCCAGCTCCACCCGCGCCCTTGCCCCTCTTGCCCTTGCCAGTGCGGCATCTCCCGCTGGGGGCAGACGCCGCGCCGACTGACTCAAGACCGAGCAGGTCGGCAGCAGCAGCAGAGGCAACAGAGGGCAGCAGGGAGGAAGGAGAACACCCCTCAAAGATGGGGGTGCGCGGGTCACCACGAGAGGCTCCTACAGTGACTATACTCTTCTCCGCCGCTAGGAGGGCCTTCTCGAGGAGGTAGACAGTGAGGGTGGTGGGACAGACCGAGAGGAAGTGGTCCCTGACTACGCGGAGGGAGTCAGGGAGACGAGTGACTATGTAGTAGAGAGCGATGTACATGGGGGGGGGGGTTCTTGGCGCAGAACTCAGCAGGAAGGGCAGCGCGGTAGCGAGTGTCACTAGTGCGAAGGTGCGTAATTAGATCAGCGACAGTAGGAAAGGCAGTGAAATCAGGAAAGAGGTACGGTAGCATGAGACGGCTCAGTGCAGCAGTGGCAGGGGAAGAGTAGCGCGCAACTACAGCGTCGTACAAGGTCTGAGCACTCTTGTACTGACTAAAGTGCGCGCGCTCAGTGGTGGGCAAGTGGCGACGCACAGCAAGACGTGCAGCAGCATCGCAGGTGGCCCACTGAGAGCGAACAGTGGGGTCAGCATCAGCAGTAGGGGCAGGCGAGGCGCCAGAGGTGAGGTCAAAGAGAGAAAGGCCGTCTGCCCTATCGCACTGTAAAAACAACTGCAGGTCGTCGACCCAGACCTCAAAGTCAATGGCTCTGCCCTCAGCGTCAAAAGCTAGGACACTGGGGGTAGCCATGACGACAGACTAGCAGTGCAAGCAGTCGGGAAGGGCATGCAGTAGCAGTAGGGCAGTGCTGTGCTCACCAGACAGGGCAGGTCGGGCGACTCGACGGCTGCAGGACGGCTCGGCCGCTGCGGGGCGGCTCGGCTGCGGCTGGGCGGCCCGGCTGCTGCTGGGCGGCTCGGCTGCTGCTGGGCGGCTCGTTTGCTGCTGGGCGGCACAGCTGGTGCTGGGCAGCTTGGCTGCTGTTGGGCGGCTCGACTGCGGCTGGGCGGCTCGGCAGCGGCTGGGCGGCTCGGCTGCTGCTGGGCGGCTCGGCTGATGCTGGGCCGCGTAGGTAGGGCGGCTGTAGGGCCGCGGGTAGGGCGGCGGGTAGGCCGCAGGTAGAGCGGCGGGTGGGCCACTGGTAGAGCGGCAAAGGGCCGCGGGTAGGGCAGCGAAGGGCCGCACGGAAAGCGGCGGGTGGGCCGCAGGTAGGGCGGCAGGTGGGCTGCTGGTAGGGCTGCCGTTGGGCCGCAGGTAGGGCGGCAAAGGGCCGCAGTTGAGGCGGCTGTAGGGCCGCAGGTAGGAGGCGGCGGGGCCGCGCCGAGGAGCGGCGGGGCCGCAACGAAGAGGCGGCGGGGCCGCGACTCAGTGGTGGGGCCGCGACAGGGCGGCGTGGCCGCGATGAGGGGGTGGGGCCGCGAGTGATGGCGGCGGGGCCGCGTCGGAAAGGGCGGCGGGGCCGCGTCTGAAAGGGCGGCGGGGCCGCGTCCGAAAGGGGCGGCGGGGCCGCGTCCGAATGGGCGGAGGGGCCGCGTCTGAAAGGGCGGCGGGGTCGCGTCCGAAAGGGGCGGCGGGGCCGCGCCCGAAAGGGCGGCAGGGCCGCGTTTGAAAGGGGCGGTGGGGCCGCGTCTGAAAGGGCGGCGGGGCCGCGTCTGAAAGGGCGGCGGGGCCGCGTCTGAAAAGGGCAGCGGGGCCGCGTCTGAAGGGGCGGCGGGGCTGCCAGGGAAGGGCGACACGGAGGGTCGCTGGAAAAAAAAAAAAAAAAGGGTTCGCGCGCCTCGGGGCGCGCTTCGGTGGGCCCTAGGCGAAGTTCCCACAGGGAACCCGCTCTATACCATGTGAGAGTTGAAGAACAGGAATGAAAAATCACTAAGGAAAGATGGGGTACAAATACAACCTTAGAAACCTGTACCCCATATGTGCTACCCCACTATAGCCTACAGCAACTATGTCATATAAATCTGACAGTAGAAGCAGGTGTAGTGGACACCTTGGAGACTCGATTGGCTGATGCAAGGAGACACCATGAGGCTGACGAGTACAGGCAACCCTCCCCTTGGAGATCGTCAAGCTGGGCATCCGAGCGTAGTGCACGATGGAGCACCCTTCCCATCTTGCATCTCCTTGACCGGTGCGAAACAAAGGCGGCATAGATGAGGAGGTCGATGGTGGTGCACGAGTCAGCGGCAGCGAGGGCACGAAAAAGAGAGGGGTGATCAAGGTCGACAGTGGCATCGACAGGAGTCAGGTGCGAGTGCAGTGGTCGATGACGGTTGTAGGGAGCTCGCGTGCCAACGTCGATGGACGACGTGGCTCTCCTCTACGAAGTGATGGAGGATTCTTGGCGACGACGCATGTGATGGCGGGCGGGATCGCGCCGGCGTATGGCTACTTCAAGTCTTTGCCGGACAAGATCACAGTCGCACCGGTGCAAGGTCGACGGGACCTCATCACCTGGAGGGAGGGGATGGAACCTCAGTTGGAGGTCGCCGGGCTGAAGGGCTTTGCCGATGGCACCGTACCAATTCTGCCAGAGGACGAGGTTGAGCTGCACGAGGAGTTTCGTGCTGTTCACCTTCATGCTCATCTTGAGGTGCTGCTCGCCAGTGGTGCAGATGGCGCTCAGGTCATGTCGAGAGCGAATGAATGCTGGTCACCAAGCGTGGCAATTCATCCTGTGGACGTATCAAGCAACAGACGACCTGTACATCGGACAGCTGGAGGAGCAAATGAGGCTACGTGTTCGTCTACGGAGGGTCCGTTGTCTTCTGGTCGAGCAAACGCATCAAGTGCACGACATTGTCGTCGACCAAGTCGGAGTACATGGCGGCCACAGGGGAACCTGCTGTCAGCCGGCCAACTGAAGGAGAGTGGTGTGAAGCTGAAGGACGACGGCGATGGACAGCTACTCGTGTCGAGTGCAGACGAGGTGCTGGTCGAGCATGCTACACTGGCCGAGTCCTCTGCACCAACCTACGCCCCTGCTCGACAAAGTTGTCGTCAACGTCTAGTTAGGTGGTGGCTCTGCTGATGATCTTCTCGGCGACGAAGTCGACCCCCGACTGGTGGCACGCGAGGCTCACGCACGTCGGCATCGACACGCCATGTGTCTCATGCGTCGGAGGAAAGCTGGCATAGCACACCTTCCTTGACAAGGGCTCGGACGCCGAGGAGGTACTAGATGTCGTTCACATTGACTTGTGCGGGCCAATTCGGGTGGCTGCCAATGATTGTAGCTTGTACTTCCTGCTAATGAAGGTTCGCCACACTTGGTTTGTGAGGGTGGTTACGGTTGCTAAGAAGAGTAATCTGCTGCATTAGCTGGTACTGGTGGAACGGCAGATGAAGAAGTCGGTGCTGATGCTCTGCTCAGACTGAGGAGGGGAGTTTCTCGAGAAGGAGTTTACCAACTTCGTCGACGGGAAAGGCATCGTCTACAACCTGACGTGCCCTTACACTTCGCAGCAGATCGGCATGGCTGAGAGAGAGATGCACATGGCCGTCGAGTCCGTGCGGACGATGCTGCTGCACATGGGCGTGCAGCACCACTGGTGGCACCTCACCTTGCGACAAGCCTTCTGGGTGCGCGCTTGGAGCGGTCAACGACGCCGCCGGGGACAACGCCGTACCAGCTGCTGACTGGGAAGAAGCCCGACCTCACCCTGGCACGGGTGTGGGGCTGCATGGTGCAGTTTATGGTTCCTGAGTAGCAGCGCGGTGGGAAGCTGGTGCCGAAGGCTCGCTGGGGGCTTCACCTAGGCGTGTCGTCGGAGAGTAAGGGCTGGGAGGTGCTGGACTTGCCCGACAACAAGGTGGTCACGTCAGTCGAGGTGATCTTCTACAAGACGCTATCGCTGAAGGTGTGGAACGCGAAGTATAGGCCGACGTTGGGGCAGACGCAGGCACACCCGTCGACAGACACCCCGACGGCGACGTTCCTACTGCTCGCCGAGGTCGACAAGCCTGCTGATGAGGATGTTGAGGAAGTCCTCCCTCCTCCCCCTGTTCTTGCTCCTCCCACCCCCATCGCAAATCACCCTGCGTCGACACTAATATCGGCCCCCAGTGATGAGGAATGCCTGGAGGCATCGCCTGTGGCGCCGGACAGTGGCATCGCCATCGACCGACGAGATGCCAAGCTCGTCGATGAGGATGTGTAGCCATCAACAGGGAAGCAGCAGACAGGGGAGCTGGTTCAGAAGGAGGTAGCAGCAGAATTCCAGTCGACAGGGGAGCGGCAGACAGGGAATTCGACAGGAGAGCTGTCGATGAAAGAGAAGTCGGCAGGAGGGCCGACGAGAGGGGAGCAGCCGGGCAAAGAGCCAACACTACCGAAGCAGCTGGTCGATGACGAGAATGTCGACGAGGAAGGGGAGCTATTGGCTAGAGAGGAGTCCACCGACAGCGACGTGGTGGAGGTGCCGATTGAGACGCGTGAGGTGCAATGCTCAGAGCTTGAGTTGCGACGCTCAGGTCGACCTCGGAGGCCACCACAGTGGCTGAGCTACCACGCATGTCTGCCACCAACTGCCTTCACCACACTGCCACGATGAAGAGGAAGATGTTAACCTGCCCCAGCTTGACCTTGACATGCATGCTGACCCCGAACACTGCTGGGACATCGCGACGATGACGGTGAAGGAGGCGCTGGCGAGCTGGAAGGGCGAGGCGGTGAAGGCCGCCATGGACGAGGAGATTTGCAACCTCATCGGCATGGGCACTTGGGAGCTGGTCGAATGCCCACGCGGGGTGAATATCATGAAGAGCCGGCGGATGCTGACGACCAAGTACTGCATCGACGACACCTTCGAGCGCGAGAAGGCGAGGCTGGTTGTGAAAGGCTTCACGCAGGTATACGGCCCCGACTACGATGAGACATACTCGCCACTGAGCAGCTACGTTATGCTGAGGATCTTCCTCACCATTGTCGTCGTCCTCGACCTCAACCTGATGCAGCTCGACATGAAGAACGCTTTCTTGCAGAGTAAGCTCGACTGGGTGTTGTACATGTACCAGCCGGACTACTTCGACGACGGGATCGGCCGGGTGTGCAAGCTGCTGAAGAGCCTCTATGGGTTGAATCAGTCCCCGCTGCTGTGGTATAGGGCTCTCGACCGCGTTCTGCTAGGCGCTGGCTGGAAGAAGAGACAAGTCGACATGGCGCTCTACTTCAAGGTCGGCAACGATGGACTGACTTGATGTGTGCTGGTCTACGTCGACGATCTACTCGCCGCCAAAAGCACCACTGCTATGCTGAAGGAGCTGAAGGAGCTGCTGGAGGCCGCCTTTGAGCTGCGCAAGAGCTCGACGGTCGTCTAGTACCTTGGGCTGGAGATCGTGCGCGACAGGCCAGCGAGGAAGCTGTGGCTGCACCAGCAAAACTATACCGACAAGCTGCGCAGGCGCTTCATCGATGAGGAGCAGACTGGGCGCATCCCAAAGACGCCAGTCTCGGTCGATGCCCACGCCGAGCTGACGTTCGACGACAAGGAGGTGCGGGACCGTGAGGAAGAGGAGTACTGGCAGAAGGTCGGCTCGCTGCAATTCGCGGCAACGACGACGAGGTCGGACATCGCGTTCGCCTACAGCAAGC